CCTCCTGCCTCCCTCCAACTTTCCTCACTCCGTTCTTATATAATGTAGTTTTTTACTGTTTTTTCAATACAACAGAATGTAAATTATTTGCATGGAATAGAAAATTTTCAATGTAGGTCTTTTGAATAGAAATTTTTCAATGTAGGTCTTTGAATAGAGTATATATATTTTTAGTAAATGTAGGTATTTTGAATAGAATAGAAATGTGGCGCAGGGTACATGACCGATGATATGTTAGTAGTTGTTATAGAAAATGTTAGTAGTTTCGTTATAAAAAATTTAGGTATATAAAGTTCCAAAAGTTTACTAATTTTGTTCATATGTTTCGATGTAGTTGATGCCTACTAAATTTTGAGAGAGAGAGAGAGAGCTAATGATATGAAATGGTTTCGCAAAAAAAATGAAATGATACCAAGTTCGAAATTATCTATAGAAATGCTCATGTGTTTATGCTCATATGTGGCGCAGGATATGTGGCGCAGGGTATATCACCGACGAGCCGGTCGACGACGCCCAAGATCACCGACGACACCCGCATCCTCGACAACCATTGTCTATAGTGAGTAAACATGTATATCTAGTGTTTTGTACTAGTGTTGCTCAAATATGATTGAGATTTAGACATGTGGTATGTAGTGTTGTGTACTACTAGTGCTTGCCCAAGTGGCCTATGTTTGCAGGGAACACCTCAGAGTGGCCTATGTTTTGTTGGAGTGTTGATTAATTTTCATTCCGGCAAATTTCAGGCGCTCGATATATCCTTTTTAGCAAAGGTTATGCCGGATTTTTCCGTAAATTTTGGCATGACTTGTGCTATAATATATAGGAAATATCGAGTGCCCCGGATTTGCTAGAAAGATAATTAAATGACGTTTCGGGTTGACTTTAAGTCAATCGGGGCTCCATAGATGACAGTCAAAATATTAGTGAGGGAGAGTCTCCACCATATATGAGAGAAGAAGAATGCCGACTGTTGCCGTGGGGTCGCTTCTCCTTCTTCTCCTTGTGCTATACCATTGTTAGGCACTAGGGGAAGGAGGCGTAGCGACCATCACCGAGGGTCAAAAATCAGTGACGGAGAGTGTCCACCATATATGAGAGAAGAAACATCCCGACTATTGTCGTGAGGGGAGCTTCTTTTTCATTTGAAGGTGCTAGACATTTTGGTGTAATGCACTTTCAAATGAAATTAGGAGCTTCCATCACCGACGGTCGCAAATGTCAGAGAGGAAGAATCTCGACAGACCAACAGTCGACCCGTGATGAATAATAATGATCTAATTTAGTTTTTATAGTATGTATATTGAATTTTAGAAGTTTAATCTTTGAATGATGAACATAGGAAATGTCTGACGACGACGATAGGATCCCCGAGTGCGACTACTACGGTGACGATCGAGGTTTGTGCGACAGGCCTCACCTTGAAGACGGTCGGCGCTTCAGTATTAAGCTCGACCACACCTTTAATGTTGAAATGGTATGCAATGACGATAAGTCTTTTTTCATAATTAAGCATGACTTCTGCTTCTTCAACGTGTAATTTTCGTCTTTTACAATTCAACTAGTGTATCCCCTGCCACACAAGACGCTATGTCTTGGAAAAGCTGAATTTTGAAGATCATGAGAATATGGAGACAAAAGATAGTTCACCTCAGGACCCATCTTGGTTATGCTTTTGCCGTAAAGCTATACAATGCAGAGAGCTACTCCCATTTTGGTTGCTCGAATTGGGAAGCATTGTGCAAGGCGTATGGTTTTCAGGAGGGTATGCATGTCACCTTTGATCTTGGTGATCCTGAAGATGACATCGATGAAGATAATGTCGATGAAGATAATATCGACGAAGCTAATATAGACATTTGGGCCCTTGTTGATACGCTTCCACTTCTATCTCTATGTGAGTTTCTCAAACATATTTATTAAATAATTTATATTGTTTTCATAAAAATAGTTGACACCTTATATATTTTCATTGACAGCTCATTTCCATTCTTCAAAAATGTTCGGAAAGTAGTAGAAAAAACAAAACCTACTACACTAATGGCTCTAAACTAACTTACACGGAGAAAGATCATCTTGTCTCCTTTATTATTGATGTTGAGACTTTCAATAAGAATTATGAAAGTCCTCCACATTATGGTCAATACGTGCTACTAGTCCACATGTTGAACTACGACAACATCCATGGAAATGGCATAGTAAGATTTATTATTATTATGACACCAGTGCATCTTTTGCATACATTCTTCTAAAGCTAAACTACATTGCTAACTACGTTACTATTATGCTCTTCAACAGAAAATCCCGAAGGATTGTGTGCCTGATCTGATGTATATGAAAGGTCACATTGATGTTGTTAGCTTACGGCCAAGTCTGCCTACGGGTCACCACTATTCATACAAGATTTCTCGAACAGATGAAGACCTCACAATCAAAGAATGGAAAAAAGTTATGAATGATTGTAGGGAGCTGCTTGGGAGAAACATTGTGCGAAGCCCATGAATTGGAGACAGGTTAATCTCCATTCTCCATAATGGAGAGTCAGGTGCTATGTTGTTTTATGCTATTTTATCTTAGAGAGGGGTAGCAGGTCCTAGCTAATACTCATGATCATGTGCTAAGAACAATTTACTAGGGTTGGTTATGACTATGATGATGAGTATGACTTGTTATTATGATAACGAGTAGAGAAGTTGTTAGATAACTATGATGATGATGAGTATGACTTGTTATTATGATAACGAATAGAAGTTGTTAGATGACTATGATGATGAGTATGGCGCGTTATTATGATAATGATGATGAGTTATTATTATTATGATGATGCTAAGTTGTTATATGAGCATGATGAGTTATTATATATATCAGTGGGCGAAATAAACATGGATTAGATTCAAGTGGAGGAAACATGGTGCAGATCGAAAGTAGTACTAATCCAAACTAAAGTGGTCAAGTTTGGATTAGTAGTACTTTCAATCTGCAGCATGTTGCCTCCACTTGAATCTAATCCACATGTCTTTCATCCACTGATATAATAACTCATCATGGTCATAAAATCATATGATGAAACTACTATATAAAACTTGTACAAATACAACGCCAACAAGCTGCAGAAAAAGCATGTAATGTTACCAGTAGCACTGCTTGCTCCCAACGCTACAACTATCTAGCAGTAGCGCTGGAGCAACCCACGCTACTGCTAGGTAGGGTTAGCAGTAGCGCTCGAGCAACCCACGCAACTGCTAGGTAGGGTTAGCAGTAGCGCTACTTGCTCCCAGCACTACTGCTAGGCACAGTTAGCAGTAGCGCTGGTAAAACCACGCCCACTGCTAAGGTTTAGATGTAGCGCCTACAATCTTTGAGCTATGGAAACAGTGGAAGGGGTGTAATGGCACATACCCACGCTGGAGGCAGAATTGAGGCGACTCCTTTTGTTTCCTTGGGTGGCAGAGGCAATGACCGGCTGGTTAGTCATAGTCGCGCCAACAGTGGTGGCTTGCCTCGCAATCGTTTGAGCCTGAGCAACTTGAGTAGTGGGCCAGATGATTGGGCTCGGGTTAGGCAGCCTAGAAGAGAAGCAGTCCCGGGCTATGTGGCCCCATCTCTTGCATGATCTACGCTTGATTCAGTTAGGCAGTTGGGCCGAAGATGGCCATGAAGGGGACAACAGACGCAAAAGAGCCCATTGATTGAGTTTTGAATAGGCGTAGTTCCTGCTCCAACATTTGTAACTGCTAATTGCTTTGGGCAACGATCATGGCTAGCAGATTGAGATCTCATAGGATCCTGAGAGGATCTTGATGGTTAATCCAAACTTATAAGATCTCTCCTTAAAAACACCCCATCTCCCCTCATATAGAGGGGGAGATGAACCCTAAGCCGTAAAACCTCGTACCTACACAGTCTAGGTCTCATTGTTTGCATTGGACTAGGGAATGACGTCCATGTTGTTCTAGAGAAATCATAAGATAATAAACAATGAATATAGTCCCATGAATTGCGCCCGCAACTCTACTACTACCAGCGGTCCATATTACTTGTCACAGCTTTAGTGCAAAGTTGCACTAAAGCTATGACAAGTAATATGGATCGGGGGAAATAGATTTATTAATAAAACAAAAAATAGGTATTGTCAAGAAATTAATAATACCTCTGCATCCATCTTGGACATAAGGATTCCCTTCAAAACCCGAAGAGCACTTGCACCGGTAACCAACATGTTTCGTCGTTCTGTCTTCAGTAACATCAATGCAGTCACTATGGACGGTGAAGCATCTATAGTCGCTTTTGTCCAGCTTTGCGTTCTTGCATGTCATACTATCGATAGCCCACGTCACCACACCTCGTTGTTCTGATAAGGCATAGAGCGCAGGGTCTGAACTATCTGGGAAGTCGTCTGGCTCCTTGGATGTCTCATGAACGTGAAAGATACCATCATCTATTGATATGTCACTGATGATCGTTCGATCGGTCAACTGAAGGACAGGAAGATAGCTCGTTGGATTACATTTGAGGTACATGTGGGGTTTTGCAAAGCATCCTAGCTCTGTTCCAAAGGGAAATGGGGTGCTCACGTTAGCGCACGATGTGGGACAATCTGTTCTCGGCCGGATGGACTCATAACCTGTTGCAGGGGGAAAACATCATGCTAAATGTTAGAGAAAATGATATCTATACAAAATAGGCATTCAAACATAATAGTGTAATTAAATAGACGATCCATCAAACATAGTAAGAGGATTTGTGGCACCAAAGGTGCGGGGCACGCAAATTTGGAGACGTCGAATTGCCTCATGATTCGAAATCGATTTGCTCTTTACACGGATTTTAGCCTTTAATTGTCTTACATGGGGTCCATTTGTGCAACTTTTCGCAGCTCCACAAATCTCACGCTCCATATTTTTTCTTTTGACTTTTAAATTTAAATCTATTGTATCTTTTAAAACCAAAAGTGAAAATTACATTTCATTTGTATATTCGTTTCTTATGACGAGGGCTTTCAAAGAAAATACATTTTGAATATGTTTTGATGAGTTTTTAAAACTTTGTGAAGTTTTAACTGCTCAAACTTGGTACGAGCGAATGACAAAGTCGCAAGTTTCAGAATCAAACTTAAAACTTGGTGTGACCTCGTGCGAAATTTAACAACTTTGTGGATCACGGGGAAAATCAGGTGTCTAGGCAAGTTTCAACTACTAACACTTGACAGGAACAATGATAAATTTAGCAAGTTTCAAAACTAAAACTTCAACTGAAAACTCTAAACCGTAAACCCTAATCCCTAATCCTAAGCCCAGAAACCTAAAACCCGGAAAACATATGAAACTTGATAAAACTTGATGTTACGATTATCAAGTTTCAATATTTGAAACTTGGACCTTTTTTTATTCTCAAAAATTTCAAGATTGATCTTGTTAGAAAGTTTTCATCACGACCAACACAAATGTGTGAACACAATATAATTTTCACTTCCGGTTCAAAAGATATAGTATATTGAAATTAAATGATCAAAGGAAGGCATAAGACACGGGGTGCATGACGCATGCATCTTTGACAAAAGTTGCGAAAAGCCTGCATGGATGGGCCCCAACCTATAATAATCAAATGCCTAAGACTAAGACTAGGAAAATGCGTGCCCTTGCACCTTGGTGCTCTTGCAAATTTCGGGCCAAACCCACTCTGCAAGGAAGTAAAAATCCTCTGAAAAGCTACTTCCAAGACCATGTTTGCTCTCTAACATTTTTTGAGCAATTGCAAGAGAGATTATATTTGATTTTGGTGAACCCATACCAATTTAACTTGCCTAGCAATAAATTTAAGAACAGTTAGGTTAACCTAGTAAAAACATGTTAGCCTCTAAACCTCCGGAAACAATAGCCAAGACTTGTCAAACTATGTAACCTACACCTCTAATTATACAAGAGTCTACAACCCGTTGAAAGGAATTAATTTCATGTGTGTTGTGACACATCCGATGATGCCGTGAGAAGTGGAGCAGCGAGGCTGCTGGGATGCGGTTGCGACAACCGTGCACCACCATTGTTGCGAAGGCCACCCGGGTGCATTGGTGCTGCAGGATGTCCACCATGACCCATGCCGGTGTTGCGGACCTACCCGTCATTCTCAATCGAGTTGATACAAGCTGCCCCATCGGTATTGTAGAGCTCGTCACCGAATATAGTGCTACAAGATGTGACAACAGTGTTGTCAGCACCACTGCGATGATGGCCTGACTACTCGAACGATGGAAACAATGCTACAAGGCATGGCGCAACGATGGCCTGGTTTGCATCCTTGGCCCAGCACTGCTTCAACGCTGTTGCAAAGCCACGACGACGACATGCTTCGAACGATCATGGTGATGTGTGCAAGGCGTGCAACATGTTGCGGAAATGACCCTGTTGCTTCCATGGTGTGGTGATGGCGTGCTTCAACGATGCTGCGAAGCTCAACGGTTGCTAGGCCAAACGGTGTGAGCAAGCCATATTGCTGCAAGGTGGTGTGACTATGGATGTGGTGCTCATGCAACCGTGAACGTGGTTGTCGACCAGTGTTGTTGCCAAGGGCCGCTCATCGGTGGGAGCGGCGAGGCTGACTGACGACCAATGGGGTTTTGTGAGGTCCGCTCATCGAGTGAATCAATGAGCGGGAGCTTCAATGTTGCAAGGCTCCAGCGTGGTGTTGCAAGTTTGTTTGCTGACGAGAATGCCATGTTGTGAGGTCGCTCGTCAGTGGGAGTGTCAGTGCTGGAACGGGAGGAAGGGTTGTTGTGAATCAATCACCAACATTCCTCGCTTCCTCCGGTTATGCAAGATCGGGGGGTGCCAACTGCGATAGGCGAGCCGAGGAGGAGAAGTGGGTGTGTTGTGCTACGAGGCGAGCAGGACCAGAGGAGTGATGCAGGGTTCACACAGGTGCAAAACGGTCAGATGATACAAGCATAATGGAACGACTATGAATTGGATGGTGTGGGAGTCCCTCAAGCACAACGTGTGGATTCTCAAGATCAAACCCTCCACCACCATTTCCATTGAGCATATCACGCGATTTTTCACCCTTTGAATGCTCTTGCATGAGGTGCATCTTTATGAGCACACAGAGGATGACATTATGTGAAAATATATGGTTATTGGGCACTACTGGGTAGTCTCCCCCTACAAGGTGCAATTCCTAGGGATGGTGCACTCACCCATGGACCAAATGGTTTGGAAGGCTTGGGCCCCTCCAAAAGTCAAGTTATTTGCTTGGTTGTCTCTTCAAGATAAAATTTGGACCACTGATAGATTAGCCAAGCATGGGTGGCCTAATTGCGGTCTTTTCCCACTTTGCAAGAGGGTGCAATAATGTGGGTCCTACCTCTTCTTCAAATGCAACTACACTCTAAGGCTTTGGTCCTTTCTCATTGCAAATTTTCACATCTTTGAGTTGGACACTTCTACTTGGCTCTCGATGGACTTGGTTGAGGCTTGGTGGGCAAGTACCTGCCTCACGACACACGTAAACTAACAAGCCAATACCTTCCTCGTCATGCTTGTCTCATGGACAATTTGAAATGAATGAAACATGAGTCATCAGGCTTAAAAGCACTCCACCGACAATCTTGCTTGCCACCATGCATCTCGAATTCTCGACCGAGACCAACCTTTGGGTCATCGTGGGAGCTAAAAAATTAGGGTCAATAATTTTACGAGAGTAATTATTATGTTGTGTGTTCGGTGTACTTGTAATGGACTCTATTCTCTCCTCCATTTCGGAAACAAGTTTGTGGTCGGTCTGTAGAGGAGGAAGCTCATTTTGTAGCCCCTACTACAGGATAAGCTTCTAGCGACCGCCAAGAAATTAAACACTGGGTTAAGTAGAATATTTTATATGGAATGGCATTCTTTTTATAGCGAGTTGTTTGTAACTTTATAAGTAATGAATCTCTACCAGGCAAAGAGCTGTATAGGCCTAAGGGGATGCATATGCACCTGGCTATGAAAGAATTTCTTTAGCAATTAGCACCATGCTAACAAATATATATCCCCCATCATCGCAAAAAAGGTCTGCAAGGTCTGGGGTGTTCCCTAGGAGCACTTTCCAAACAAACACTCGAATTGCCATGAAATTTGAACTAAAGTTGCAAGACAATTTTACATAAATTACCATGATTGGAATTGAAAACCGCCATATAATGCGAAAAGTACTAGCATTTTTTAAAATTTTCTGCCATCCGCATGATCTGGATCCATTGGTTGTGCGTGCGTTCTCTGGGACCTCCTAACTAGGGAACGTTCCCCAGTTATCATTTCCCCCAAAACACACCATGCTAATATATGTAAAGTGTGCCATGATGGTCCAAATCATAGCATTCAAACAGGCAATTTTCTTGTACTGAACCCAAACAATGTGAGTCAAACTCCGCCCTTGAGTTCTCACGACACTTTTTTATGTGAAAAACAACTTGTCTTTGACGAAAAAGTTTACCTTTTTGTCAAAAATGACTCGTCTTTCTGTTGACATTATGTAAGAAGTAAAGGTACATCTACGGGCCCAATGGCCAGGATGATGTGGAGAGCTCTTCTTGGAGAAGAAAAAGGGAGGGGGGGCCACTTAGTGAAATTCAGGGGTGATGATTTATTTAATTTTGAAAGCCTCTGTATAATCTCCACAAACCATACGTGGATGTAGCATTTTTCTTATGTAGGTGTGAGGAACAACTTCTCCGCCACCGCCGCCTCCACGGTCCACGCCGGAAACCTCAGAGAAAAGTGGCAGTGGGGCTTTTCACCTTGTTGGCGTCACGCGTCTCTCCACCCCCACCACTCCCGTAAGGTTTGTCATGGTTCTTGCTGAAGGAAATATGCCCTAGAGGCAATAATAAAGTTATTATTTATTTCCTTATATCATGATAAATGTTTAATATTCATGCTAGAATTGTATTAACCGGAAACATAATACATGTGTGAATACATAGACAAACAGAGTGTCACTAGTATGCCTCTACTTGACTAGCTCGTTGATCAAAGATGGTTATGTTTCCAAACCATAGACATGAGTTGTCATTTGATTAACGGGATCACATCACTAGGAGAATGATGTGATTGACTTGACCCATTCCGTTAGCTTAGCACAGTGATCGTTTAGTTTGTTGCTACTGCTTTCTTCATGACTTATACATGTTCCTATGACTATGAGATTATGCAACTCCCGTTTACCGGAGGAACACTTTGTGTGCTACCAAACATCACAACGTAACTGGGTGATTATAAAGGTGCTCTACAGGTGTCTCCGAAGGTACTTGTTGGGTTGGCGTATTTCGAGATTAGGATTTGTCACTCCGATTGTCGGAGAGGTATCTCTGGGCCCTCTCGGTAATGCACATCACTTAAGCCTTGCAAGCATTACAACTAATGAGTTAGTTGCGGGATGATGTATTACAGAACGAGTAAAGAGACTTGCCGGTAACAAGATTGAACTAGGTATTGAGATACCGACGATCGAATCTCGGGCAAGTAACATACCGATGACAAAGGGAACAACGTATGTTGTTATGCGGTTTGACCGATAAAGATCTCTGTGGAATATGTAGGAGCCAATATGAGCATCCAGGTTCCGCTATTGGATATTGACCGGAGACGTGTC